AGCAGCATTTCACGTTCCTCTAAAATGGAGGAAATTCTGTAATGTATGTGACCCCAAAGATCTGTGACAGTCAAAACCCAGTGATTCTGGTTACCTTAAGCAGCCGAAATCCTAACAGCAGCTGCCAACCTTTCACTTTCTGCATCGTCTTCCGCTTTGATGCCTGCCATGTGCCCAGGGCTAAAATCCCTACCAGTGAAGCCCAGCCTGAGAGGGTACTAGGATCCCCCTGATGCCCCAGAGCATTATGATCCAATTATATAACCCCCTCATAGTAAGAGAATTATCATGCTTCCCCTACAACCCAACTAAGAGTTATCTAGAGTGAGAGGACCCTGGAGCCATTCAAAATATATGTCACGCAGAAGCTAAGTGGGTGAACTGGTAGCAAGGTTTTTGCCTTCCCCGATGGCCTGGGTGGAAGCCTGATGCATCCTTTCCTAAGCCACATGCTTATTGAAGATGGCAGGTTCTCTGCGGGAGGAACAGGACACCGTGAGAGCTACGCTCCTGCACCTGAATCTTCCAGCCCAGCAGAACTAACCCCACCCCTGAATGCCACTCCCCACCCCCAGCGCCCACTATCTTTGCACATGCTTTCCCTCTGTAGGCAAGTCCTCTCCTGCCATGGCCCCTGCACGCCTAGCCATTTCACTCTTCAGTGTTGCATGAAGGATCCATAAAGAAGCCCACGGTACTTTCATTGTTTGCAATTTATATAATCAGCAACATAGAAAAAAGATACACTACCAACTGATAAACTGATAGGATGGTGTGGCAAAAGTGCCCAATATAAGACCAACTCGCAAAATCAAAAGCTTTCCTTCCCATGAAAAATAATTGTATGTAAGACAAAATAGGAAAAAAAGATCCTATTTATGATAGCAGCAAATCTGTACAATATCTATGCATAAGCTTAACGAAAGTTTTCCAATAGCCACATGGAAAAAAAAATCTAAAACTAGACTAAAGGAAATAAAAATCACCTTGTTAAAAGGAGAGGCCTGCTTACCATGTACAGAATAGAAAAACTGCTTATTGTGAAAATATAAGTTCTTCCCAAACTCACCTATACTTCACTGTAATACAAACTGAGATCTCAATGGATTATTGTGTAACTTAAAATTGGATTCTTTAATTCATCTGAAGAGAAAATGGGGAATGATAACCAAGAAACTTTTGAGAAAAGAATGGTACCAAAAGAAAACAATTTGGAGAAAGTCACTAAGACAATTCAATAGAAAAAAGAGTAGGTGTTTCAACAAATGGTTCTGGAACAACTAGCTGTCCACATGCCGAAGAATGAAGTTGGACTTGTACTTCAAGCTACATACAAAAATTAATTCAAGATGGTTAAAGATCTAAATATAATAGCTAAACCCATACAACTCTTTAAAAAACGTATACGTGTAGATCTTTATGACCTTAGGTTAAGTAATGGTTTCTTAGATACGGCACCAGAAGCATAAGCAGCCAAAGAAAAAAATAGATAAGACCTCATCAAATAAAAAACTTTGAGCTTCAAAAGATACAATCAAGAAAGTAAAAGGGGCCAGTCCTGATGGCTCACGCCTGTAATCCCAGCACTTTGGGAGGCTGAGGCAGGCAGATCACTTGAGGTCGGTAGTTCAAGACCAGCCTGGCCAGTATAGTGAAACTCCATCGCTACAAAAAAATACAAAAAGTAGCTGGGTGTGATGGCATGTGCCTGTAATCCCAGCTATTCCAGTGGCTGAGGCAAGAGAATCACTTGAACCTGGGAAGCAGAGGTTGCAATGAGCCGAGATCACACCACTGTACTCCAGCCTAGGTGACAGAGCAAGGCTCTGTCTCAAAAAAATAAAATAAAAATTAAAAAAAGAAAGTAAAAGGATAACTCACAAAATGGGAGAAAGTATCTGTAAATCTTATATCTAATAAGGGTCTAGTGCTGAAAAATGTGTGAAGAACTCTTCCAACTCAACAATAAAAACACCAAAATCCAATTTACAAATAAGCGAAGGATTTAAGTAGACATTTCTTCAAAGAAGGTATAAAAATGGACAACAAGCACATGAAAAGATGCCCAACATCGTTAGTGATTAAGAAAATTAAAACAAAAACCACATTGAAATACCACTTTATATCCACTAGGATAGCTATAATGGAAAAGATAAACAACAACAAGTGTTGGTGAGTATGTGGGGAAATTAGAGCCCTCATCTAATGTTCACAGGAATGTAAAAGGGTTCAGCTCCTTGACAGAACAGTTTGGCAGTACTTTAAAAAGTTAAACACTGAGTTTCCATATAACCAGCAACTTTACTTTTAGACCTATATGTCTACTCATGGCACATATCCAAGAGAACTGAAAACACATCCTTACAAAAATGTGTACACATGTGTTCATAGTAACATTACTCATAATAGTCAAAAAGTAGAAACAACTCATGTGCTCATCAATTGGATGAGCAAAATATGTTTTCTTCCACACGGCAGAAGGTGATTCAGCCGTAGAAAACGAATGACATTCTAATGCATGCCTCAGTATGAATGAACTTGAAAACACCATGCTTAAGTGAAAGAAGCCAGTCACAAAAGGCACTTATTGTATGATTCCATTTCTATAAAATAACAGAACAGGCAAGTCCATAGAGATAGAAAGCAGGTTAACGGTTGCCAGAGATGGAGGAGCAGGGAATGGGAAGTGACTGCTAATGAATATGAGGTTTCTTTCTGAGGTGACAGAAAGGTTTTAGAATCAATTAGTGGTGATGAGTATGTAATATTGTGAATATACAACAAAACTCACTGATTATATATGCTTTTAAAAGGTGAGTTTTATGGCATGTGAATTTCATCTTAATTTTAAAGGACAACGTACTCTATCTGATATCAAAATAGAGTATAGAGCAATAGTCATTGGAACAGTGTGGAATTGGCACAGAAACAGACAAATGGATGTCTGTTTCAGTGGGCTAGCACAAAGAGTACAAAAGTGGTGCCACAAACATATTGTGGGCCTTTGATATATGCCAAGGTAGCATGTCACATCACGGAGAAAAAGAAAAATGGCAGCAAAGCACAGCTGGCTCTCATTTGTAGGGGAAAGTTAGCATTGAACCTCACACTCCCACAAAAATTAATTCCAGATGGATTAAAGAGCTAATTATAAGACTATAAAGATAGAAGAAAATAAAGAAGGACGTATTTGTGATCCTGAAAACAGCCACCTTGAGCTATACAAAAAATGCATGAAGAGAGAGACAAATGCATTTAAATGGATATACATCGGAAACTCTGAACAAAAAATATCATAAGCAAAGTTAAAAGACATTTCCCATGTAATAACAGGCAGAGTGTTAATATCCTGAGTATATAAAGAACTTCTAAAATTAATATGAAAAAGCTCAACAGAATAATAAATGTCCCTGCAACCCCTTAACCCCATCACCCTCCTTTCATCGCCTTTTAGGTGATCTGAGAATTTTGTCATCTACGTTGAGACCAAGAGATCATCTTAGCCCCTTTCCCGTGGTGGTGTCTGGTTTTCTTCATTACTCAGTTGCATCTGGTGCTTTTTCTTAGCAAAGTCAAGGTGGGTTTTGTTGGGCAGAACAAATGGACACCAAGCTCTGCCCTGGAGAAAGTGCACGACTGTTGTCATATGTGAAGGAGCCGTGCACAAAGGAGGGTACAGTGGAGACAGACTAACACCTGAGCTGCTTGAAAGAGGAGCTTCTCAGGGGAAACCCTGAGAAGATACATGTACCTTTCTCTGCAGAGATCTGTACCCAGCTGGCATCCAGAGGACCTGGGTGAGGAGTACTGAGTATACTCAGCCACTTCTTGCCAGTCTGCCACTTAACTGGAGCTGCAGCGTACCTTTTGCTCAGTGATAAAATTAACCTTGATTCCGGACTGATATCTGTCTTCACTAAGGAAGTGTCTGTGCTGTGGTTTCTTTTTGTAAAGCTGTGACATTATCAAAGGATAGAATATTACAGGCATGACACACGGGAACTTTTGTCTTAGACTTAGAAGACCTTCCTATTTTTCTTTCCTGCTGAGATAGACTTTTAGCTCTCAACTGGGTAATTCAGTGAGGTCCCCTCCTTCCTTCTTCACCCCCATTTCCTCTCATCTGCTTTCCTGTTTTCATAAGCCACAGATTTAGGCCTTGTTTTATTACATTTCACAGTGTGCTTAGATACCCCCTACAGTTCTTCATCTCATTACAAAAGACAATTTACATGAGGGTAAAATGGTGATGTCAATGTGATTTGTTCTGCTGCTGGATTTTGTAAAACATTCTGTATCAGGGCTTTCCTGTAGGGTGTCAGAGAGACAAGAGTGAAACTAGGGTTCATTTAAAAACCCCTATTGGTAACCTCTAAGTAAATCAGATATTCCCGACCCTGTCTGGGTCACGTTGGGCTTTGCGTTAAATATTAAGGCTGCATAATAATATTTTATGCAAAAGAAAATTCTATAGCTAAAAACAAGTGGAGAGGATTAGAGGCAGTTGATTTATTATAAGTGGGCAAAAATATGTTATAACTGAAATGGGATTCTCCCCTCCTCCCCTGTAGGGTCACTGTTACTACCATGGACATGTACGGGGATATTCTGATTCAGCCGTCAGTCTCAGCACCTGTTCTGGTCTCAGGTAAGTGGCCATGACCGTGGTGGCTCTAGTCTTCAGCCGTCTACTGCAGACAACCTCTGTCTTTTCCTGCTCATGCTAAAGCACTGAGAGTCAGTGATGGGGGCTCCCAGCTCAGCTGCACCTTCACCTGGGCAAGAGAACACGGAGGCCCTCGCTGCATTGCTTACAAGAGCATGGCCACCCAGGATCTTAGCCTCATGTTCATGCCCCCTCTTTCAGTGCTGTCCTCAGGCCTGGTGGGGTGAGAGTGACTGAAGTGGTTGAATTTCAACATCCAAGCATTTTGTGAATTAGCTTCCATTTATGTGGCTCTGATGCTTTATAATTCCCAGTGCTAAAGGACAGAACATTACGTACTAATGTTGAAGCTGCTGGCTTAATGTAAATCTTAAAGGGCCTCCCCTCATAAGGAAGCAAAGTAAGGAAACTAATTTAACAACGCCCAAGGTGAGTTGAATATAGGCATGGATCGGTAGGGAGTTTGCTACTATGCTATGGGCATGATGCAGGAAGCGATTACCTTCCCAGGCTAGACAAGTCAACCTCAGGTGTTACTCGCAGCCCCCTTCCTTCCACATCACAGTTATTAGCCATCGGGTGGCCCTTATGTGCTCCCCAGGAAAATCATTTTGTTTGATAAATTTCCAGCTATTTCAGCCTTTTTACTGGATTTACTTGTTGAGTTTGTAAACTAAATGTTTGTATCCTCAGAGTCCTGGGTAACTTTGGTCCAAGGCACCAAGTCATGGTCCCATAGGAGGGAAGAAAGAAGGCCGTGGAAGGATGTACCCGCTTGAGTTAAAAAGCAGAATCACATTCTGCATATCAGCAGTTCCTGTGACGTCTTTGCGGGTTCTGTGTGGGATCATGGAGGATGAGAATGTGCATGTGACACACCTAACAATGACACACCTACCAGTTTGTTCTTTGCTGCCCTCACTTCTGCTCCAGTCAGCAGAGAATGAGAGTTCTGTTTGCTCACATCTTCCCCATTGCTCAATACATCTGATTTATCTCTAAGTATTTACCAACATTGGTCCTTTCATGTACCTAAAAATATGTACACAAAGCTGTTCCTCTTCCTCCTTTATCCCGTTCCAGTCCCACTCAGATAAAAATGCAAACTGGGAATTCCCCTCCCAGCTTTCTGATCCCTTGTGCATGTAAACACATAGTCAGAGATTGGGGTGTATATTCATTTATTTTTACAAACATAGAGTCATGTCATATACATCATTCTACAGCTTTCTTTTATCACCCGACCCCATCTGTCTCTCCAAGTCAGCAGATACAGAACCAAATCATTGAGCGAACACACACACTCGCATGCAAACACTCATTTCTGCATACCTGCATTTTTTAAAAGCATTTTTATATCCTATTTATGCAACACAATTGAACTTTAAAATATCTGCTACTCTGAAAAGTGAAGGAGGTGCCTTGTGGTTTGAATTTGCTTCTCTCCAGTTATTCATTCATTCAGAAGACATTACTTGAGTGCTTCCTCATTGCCAGTTCTGTTCCAGGTTCTGGGGACACAGCACTGAACAAAACGTGTTCTTCGTGGAGCATTTCCTAGTGGAAGGAACAGACGATGGACATAGAGTAAGATACATGATGTCAAGGATCATGGAGAAAGACAAAGCTGAAATGGAGGACAGCAAAGGCAACAGGGAGTCAGGGAGGTTTGGGAGGAGGTGAGCCCTTTAGATGATGTAGGTGGCATATCAGACAGAAGAGCATGTGCAAAGCTCCTGAAGCAGAAAGATGCCTGGGATATTCCCAGAGCAGCAAGGTGGCCAGCACAACTAGAGAGGACAGGGACAGGGAGGCAGTAGAAAGAAATGAGGTCAGAAGGGAAGTGGAAAGGTAAGATCACCAGGGCTCACAAAGGTGGTCAGATGTCCTTTGGCCTCCCCACAATGATGGGTGCCAGGGGAGCTTGGAGCTGAAGTGATGTGGTCTGACTTAACATTTTTACAGGGGCACTCCAGCTGCCAGGCTGGAAATAAGACTGTATAAGAAGGGCAGACTTGGGTAGGTGCCTTCACAGTAACTCCGGTAAGAGGTGGTGGGGCAGGCCTAGTCAAAGGTGGCAACTTTTGTGAGACTCAAGAGACTTTTCCAAGGGTATTAGAGAGGCTGGTGACTAAACTCTTTTAGTGATCTGTGTCTTAGACTCACTTTCCTGAGGAAGTGTGGGGTGTGAGTACTTGAAAGGACCTACTGAAGATGCAACAAAATCCACCACTTGGCAGGGACTCCAATATACGTGCACGCCCAGCATGTGGGGTGGGTGCTTAGGAGAAGGTGAAGGAGGAGAGTTTGGAAGTGACAATTTAGAACAAAGATGCCAACTGTTCACCACCAAGGAGCTGAGGTACGTGAGGGAGAAATTTTAAGTAACGAAGTATCATCCTGAGAGGCTGCAGGGGAGGTGATATCAGTGGAATCAGCCAGGATTCAGCTAGGGGAAGGAGGTAAGAGGAATATGCTGGAAGAGATTTGGATCAGGAGAGGATTTGAGGATGGACCATGAGCCCCAAGAGCACAGCAGGAAGGGTTAGGGAAAAGGGAGTGGGGATAAGGTCAGTAAAGGATTAAAGAGTTGTGAGGGATAAGGGGCCGGTTTTCATGGAAAACCAGTGCTTGAATTCCTGGAGGGGACAGAGATGAGCAGGGCTGGGGGTGAAATGGGGTCAGAGCTGGTGGCATCTGAGGTGAAGGTGAGTGACCAATTCAAAATGGGTACTCTGGGACCCCAGGTAGATGTTCTCAGCCTAGAACATGATAGGGTGGTGAATTAACTGTGTGACAATGGACAGGTCACTGGGCCTCTCTGAGCCCCAGTTTGCATGGTGGGAAGTTTGCATGTTCAAACAAAGTTTGAGTTTGTTTCTCCCCTGTGATGGGTGCCAGGGGAGAAACCGTAAACAATTGCAGTGACCTCTAGGAAAGCCAAGCCCTGTGCCGGCCTCCAGTGAGCATCATGAGACCGTCTTTGTTCTTTGATTCTGGAACTGGACTAGTTGGGGAGGTGTGTTCATGCAGCACTCCTGGGATCATTCTTTGCAAAGCTTTGCTGCTCCTGTAGAGACCAGGGCAGAGACACACAAGGCCATGGTAGTAAGGACCACACACACTTGGAAAGGGAAATCCATACTTTACTATTGTGCCTCTCTAGGGCCTGAAAGGTGGACCTCTTTCTTCAGAGGTCATGTGTTGAAGGCTGGAGATTTTCAGCCTTCAATTTGGCATTAAGGTCAATGTGTATAAAGAAGAAAAAAGCTGCCCAGGGGCATGGTGGCTCACGCCTGTAATCCCAGCACTTTGGGAGACTGAGGCAGGTGGATCACAAAGTCAGGAGTTCAATACCAGCCTGGTCAACATGGCGAAACCCCATCTTTACTAAAAATACAAAAATTAGCTAGGCGTGGTGGCATGCTCCTGTAGTCTCAGCTACTTGGGAGGCTGAGGCAGAGAATTGCTTGAACCTGGGAGGCAGGGGTTGCAGTGAGCCGAGATTGTGCTCGCTCCAGCCTGGAGACAGAGTGACACTCTGTCTAAAAAAAATAAAAAATAAAAACTCAAACTGACTTAAAGAAAAACAAAATAATGTGGAGATAGGCTTATGCTACTCAGAAGTCCAGTCATGGCTGGATCCAGTGTCCTAGCTAGTATTATCAGGGTCTGTTTTCTATCTCAAGCCTCTACCACTTTCTGTGTTACTTTCATTCTCAGGCACTATCTTAGCATGGGCTGCCATAGCAAGATACCGTAGACTAGTTGGCTCAAACCATAGAAATTTATTTCTCACAGTTCTTGAGCCTGGAAAGTCCAATGAGCTGACAAGGTCAATTTTTCCTCCTGAGGACTCTTCTCTTGGCTTCCAGGCAGGCGTTAGCTTGCTGTGTGCTCACATGACCTCTCTTGGTGCATGTACAGAGGGAGGAAGCTCTGGTGTCCCTTATAAGGTCATGAATCCCATCATGGGGCTTCCCTTATGATCTCATCTAAGCCTAATCAGCTCCCAAAGGCCCCATCTCCTGGTACCATCACATGGGGGTCACGGCTCTAACATATGAATTTGCAGGGTATATAAACACTCAGTCCATAATAGGCAGTTTTTGTTTTGTTTTGTTGGCAGCATGAGGCTTCCATGTTCAAAAAGCAAGTAGAAGAATAAGGGCCTCTCTCCCAAGCTCAGTGGAGGTCATCTAAACACAACCCAGTGGCTCTGACTAGGCCACGGTCTCATCTGTGAAACAATCAGAGTGGCCAGTGTGGAGCTCAGTGGTCTGGTCAAACAGATTATGGGCCTATATCCTGGACCAGGTTGAGGGAAAACTGCAGGGAGCAGGGAAGCAGGGAGCGGGGAAGGGGTGAATGTACCAAAGAAATGCAATGAGCTTTTGGCAAAAAAAAAAAAAGGACAACTGAGAGCCAGGGACACTCAGAAACAAATAGGCCTCTTCCAGCAACAATCATGAAGAAATTCTCAGTCATCAAAACTGAGATCAGCCATTAGTGGAAACATCCAGGATTGGCCGGATAATTTTCAGGCTGTCTTTACAGGGCTATCAGATTCTTGATGGGCAAAGAGAAAAGGATTAACTACAAGGAGTTCCTAATAGCTCCTATTTACCTGAATAACACAACTTATAAACCAGTGACATTAACTCATTAGAGTGACAACTGGGGAAGGTATTCCTAGAGTAATATCCAAGCAAGACAAATCCTCCCATAGGGCTTGGCCTTGCCACTCGGTCACGACCCTCCATCCCTCTTCCCAGGCCCGCCCTGTAGTCACTCTGTGCCAGGCACACTGCCTTAGCTCTTTCAGCCTCCCAGAAAGGTGCAGGGCAACTGTCAGGGTTGCCAGTTCCTTCCACATGGTGGTAATGACCTTGCTGGCCAGACTCTGCAGTGTCTGAGTTTCCACGTCCACCCCCCCATCCCCAGGAGCAGGCACAGACCCATAATTTGGCAGAAAAGAATAT